CACCTCGAGTGCTGTGTTCAGTTCTGGGCCCCTCACTGCAAAAAGGACATAGAGATGCTGGAGTGTGGCCAGAGAAGGGCCAAAAAGCTGCTCCAGACCAAAGAGTCTGGAGCACAAGTCCTGTGAGGAGCGGCTGAGTGAGCTGGGGGTGTTAAACCGGGAGAAAAGGAGACTGAGGGGAGACCTGATCGCTCTCTACAACTACCTGAAAGGAGGTTGCAGGGAGGTGGGGGTTGGTCTCTTCTCCCAGGTGACAAGTGATAGGAAAAGAGGAAATGGCCTCAAGTTGCATCAGGGGGAGGTTTAGATTGGATATAATGATAAATTTCTTCACCAAAAGGGTTTTAGGCATTGGAACAGGCTGCCCAGGGAAGTGGTGGAGTCACCATCCTGGGAGGGATTTAGGAGACGTGTAGATGTGGTGCTCAGGGACATGGTTCAGTGGTGGACTTGGCAGTAGTCAGCCTAAATGATTCTATGCTTCTATTCTATATTCATATTAGAGATGAGGAAACCAATGTCTGCAGGGAAGGGGAGAGAGAGAAGAGGAGAGAATCCAGGGTGAGAACTGCGATAAACTGAAATTGATTTACAATGTGTAGCTCGAGTGGCTCAGCCAAAAGAAAATTAATCCTGAATACTTCAAGATTCCATGATTCAAACCCCAGATCTCAATTTGGACCTGTTTCTAGTGTTTTTCAGTGACTTTAAGTTGATGATAATTAAAATAATTAAAATACAGACTAAGAGCTTCCCTTCACCTATCTTCATAGTTAAGCTGAGGAAAGTCTCAAGCTTGTATTGGAACACATAAAATCTGCTTGAAATAAACGAACAGCTTTTTAGAAAATAGGGCCACTCTATCTCATCACTCTTCTTAACACAAATGGTATATTTATTTATTTATGGTTACTGCTTTTTCAAATTTCAGATGTCTGAGGTATTCAGGTTCTAGAGAAAATTTCTCATGTTCAAACCACTGCACATATCTTTCCTCCTCTGTTCAAAAAAAGGGCAAAAGGAACCATTTCAGTCTTTAAAAGCAACTGACCAAAAAGCCTCATGAACAGGAAGCTGAGTGGGTAGGACCGTCTGCTCTTAAAAATGACTTCTCTCTTCCACACAGCAATAGTTTTGATTTTATGCTGGAACCCAAAATAATAATTCCACTTTATAAAGACACTGCTTCTTGTGCTCATCTGCTCATACATAAATCATTATCGTAGCCGTAAAGAGATGGTATTGGAGTTACAAATGTAAAAGAACGTACGTTTAGTATTATAATGAGATATCAAACAATGTAAGGGTCAAACCTTTATCTCAGACACCTCATGCTGTCAAAACTAGAAGACTTACCAGATTCTAAATTAACATAAATTTTCCTAGGCTAAAAAACTGAATGTTTGAAAACTGATTGCTCATCTCTATTTAAATAACAATAGCCTAAAATGCAGAGCTGTACTCTGACAGTAAATGTATTAAAACTTTAAGTTACTTTGCCATGCAACAGCTCTTATTTTTTCTCTCCCAGAAAACACAAATCATACCCTCCTAATTATTTAAATGAGAACACACTGAGAAAAGGGAATTACAAGGCTATCTTCACTGAAAACAATTACAATTAATTAAATTAAAATTTTTATGTTACTGGTGATTTAAAAAAAAATATCTGGGTTAATATGAAAATAAGGTCTATTCAATGCCATCCAAAATTTCTTTTTACTTAAATGCCACCCCTGGCCCTTCATATGGCTGAAAAGCAAATTTGAAAGTCCGTGTAGAAATTCTTCTCCTTTATGTTCTCTTCTCTGAAAAATATCACTCTGTGCCTTTGAAATGTTCAAGACATAGCAAGAAATGTCAGCCAGTTTCAACTAAGAATGCATATAAGTATGTTTACAAGTAGCAGGAGTACACAACAATAGCATTACAATTCTGGAATTGTGCCTCTTTTTCAAGGACTTATGGCTGTCATTATTCCAAAGGAGAGTTTCTTAATATAGCTCAACCAAGAGGTGAACTTTATTGTTAGCAGACACAGAAAAGCCTTTCCAAGTATTTCCAAGTAAAAATGATATTAAAAATATACCAGTCCTTACTAAAAACCAATTTTGCACTTGCATGGTTTGGCTTGAAGCACAAGATCCAACAAAGATACAGGCACATAAATGGATGTGCGTTTCTGTGGCTAGTGCTTTGATTTGGCTGAAATGTAAGACCTGTAAATGTGTTCCTTAATGAAAATTCTCCAAGGTTTGCTCAGTTCTGAGACAAGGGCTCTATGTACTCAACACATTCAAGCTCCATTTTTTTTCTGCTAGCAAGCAAACTTTAAGGTTATAGAAAGCACTCAAAAATAAAGCAGGTTCTATGCAACCATCACAATTTCCCACAAGATTCCTGCATCATTGCTGTTGACATTAGATGTTCTATAGACAGTGAAGCCTCATCTTCACCAGCGAGGAAGAAAAATACTGAACACCAGCCTGAAGTGGAAACAAAATATTCAGTACACACTGTATTTACTCGTAATTTTCATGTTTTCCAAAGAACAAAAAAATAGTAGACCTAGGATGCTAAATACAGGCAGAATTGGTGATACAAGCCTTCAGGAAACCAATTAAAATCAGTTAAAGAATTACCACTTATTTTTATAAGCTGTACAAGTCATGACCTGCCATAGGGATATTCTGAATTTACTGCATTAGAGTCTTGTATCAACTAAGGATCTGCGGAGCGGAGTATTATTTTGCTATCTATCAATGACCCACGTTGCTACGTACTAGTGATCTACGGCCCTCGTTATATTCCCTGTGACAGGAATGCATCGCTGGTGCACGGGTTGGTTCTGCTATCTTTGTGCTAACGACAGATTACCATATAGCCAGGAGATTTTCCAACAGGCTGACACAGTCAGAGTAGGACTGTTCACTTCTGGTACATGAGGGAACGAGAATCTGTTCCATTCCTTTTATATACTATGAAGTGCTCAACAGCCATTACAAAAGGAAGGATTCTAACGCAGCTGCTCTTACCACATCCGAAGCCAGGACAGGCTGATGTGGTACTGTTTGACATACACCAAGAATCAAAAGCCCTGTTCCTCTCAACAGGAACAGCTCCTGCTCAGCTTGACACACATTTTCTGAAGATCATTCTCTAAAATTGTTCCTCTTCTACAACAAAATACAGTATGAGAAAAATACCACCTTTCCCTGGGATGAACTCCCTCTGAAAGACTTCCTTGAGACTGCTATTCCCACACAGCAGTCTGTGAGTTGGTAAAATATATAAATGGGAAGCTCCATAAATGGCTTCAGGCGTATAGGTGTAAGCTGCTAGCGTCTCTCCCGTTACTTTACCATTAACCTGAAAAAAAGCAGAAAAACTCCCATTAGAACTGCAGTGGGTTTAGATTCCCCTTCCTTTTTATGCAAGTAACAGACCCACATCACCCTGAAGAAATACACAGTTCTGAGCATCAAAGCCAGATGTACTCCCACTACGGGGACAATCCAGAATCAAACCTTGACAGTATTTACTTTTAAGACCTTGAGAAAGTTGCTTTACAGTCTTGCCTCAGTTTATCTAAATGTGTCTACAAAAAAAATATTCTAAAATCATATGGAATATCGCATTGTGCTACTGACCTAGATCCAATCCCTAAGTAACCTGGAATCCTCTTATTCACTTGCAATATGCATGCCCTGTTTCCAAGAAATGGAAAAGAGACGTCACCTCTGAAATCTAAAAAGAATTTCAGATTTTCTCATCTCCCAGGCTTTCCACCACACTTGAAGCTGCAAATTATATCAGGAATAAAATATTAAAAGGTGGCACAGTGCTGTGGTTTAGCTCCAGCCAGCAACTAAGCACCACACAGCTCTCGCTCACCTTTTGCCCCCCATCCCCCTTCCCCAGTGGGATGTGGGAAACAATCGGGGGAAAAAGAGAACTTGTGGGTTGAGATAAGAACAGTTTAATAATTGAAAATAAAAGAAATAAAATAATGATACTATTACTACGTATTGAATAATAACAACACTAATATGTGATGATACAACTGCTCACCACCGGCTGACCGATGCCCAGCCACTCTCCGAACAGTGATTGTCCCTCCCAGCCAAATCACCCAACTTATACACCAAGCATGACATTCGATGGCATGAAATGTCCCTTTGGTCAGTTTGGTCAGCTGTCCGGGCTGTGTCTCCTGCCAGCTTCTTGTAAAGAAGCAGCTGGGAGGACAGGGGCAGTATCAGAAACTGAGAAGTCCTTTGTTTAACATACACATTGCTTGGCAACAACTGAAACCAACAGTATGTTGTCAACGTTCTTCTCAGCACAAATTCAAAAAACAGCCTCACACTAAATGCATCAGTGCCTTGTCAACATTCTTCTCAATACAAATCCAAAACAAAGCCTCAGACTAGCTACTATGAAAAAATTAACTCTGCCCTGGCCAAAACCAACACACACAACATTAAAACTCGACATAAAATACAGATAATAAGCTTAGAAGGCTACTCAAGAATTATCACCCAGCACGATCAACAGACTTTATATTTTAGGTCAATTAACTGTGGAGTGCATAGGGGTCTTAGAAGGAGATTCTTTTCCAACAGGTTTTGATACACATTTTCTGAAACAGATTATAAAAACAGCTTAAATACAAAAATGCACATTCTAGCAGTGTGCAGTTCAGAGCAGTTAAGAAAGTTTCAGCTGCCTCAATATGAAGTTCCCAAAAACTCAGTATTTTAAAATAAGAAGTCACTTTTAAAATGTTAGACTAGAGTAAACACACCTTTGAAGTACAAGGGCTGAAATTCCACCTGGGTCTATGAAAAGCTCTTCTGTCACTATCATATTCAAGAAGCCTTTTGCACTTCTTGAGAAAAAAGTGATAATCTGAAGTCCTTTTGTAGATTATTATAATTTTCTCAGTTTCTTTTTCCTTTCCTTTGTTTCTAACAGACCTCACTGTAAGTCCATTAATACTTAACTATATGGCTTTCATGATTTTAATTACTGTATGTAGTAAAAGAAAACTGGACAAATCATTAAAGTGCAGGGGCTCGCCTGAGGTGCGCCTGGGTCTGGCAGGGAAGGTGCTGTGCAGAGAGGAGAAAAAGCTCAGCTGGATCCCATGTGAGTTGTGCAGTGCCACTTGATACTGCTCTTGGCACTGCTCACCTAAATGTCCTGGCTTTCAGGAATGCTTATTAGCTGGCACATATTTTGGCATAAATGCACACAGCCAATTTGCATCCGATGATGCACTCAGACACACAAACCCTTTCCTAAGGAGGATGGCAGAGAGTATCTCTTCAACCCACAAGTGGTGTTCTTCAGGAATCTGTGCTGGTCTGGGCAGGAACATATAATCATCTCTTTTAGTAGGTTTCAAGCTTTTTAGATCTGAAAATCCATTCCCATCATGCATTTTAGGGGTTGTGTTTAGTCCAACCAAGACAGTAGCATTGAAATTTCTGACTTACCTTTAGCAAGAAGTCTAGAGAGCATCCAATGCAGTCACCTATCCAATTTGCTTGCATTTCCTTTATACCATACCACTCGGGGAGATCAGACAAAGCATCAAACATTGCCTGATGGAAGAAAAGAAAGAATCAGGACATTGAGCTTTTGTGAGCATACAAGTTAAGTCTATGGGTTTAATTACAACGAACAGCAAAATGTTACGGTGCTGGTAAAAACATAGTAAGGTGTTTTTATACTGCTGCTGCCTTAAACTCCTCTTTGAGAACAGAATTAACATGGGGCAAGCCAGAGGTATGTTGTCTCCAAGAGAGACCCTGTCGTTGTCAAAAGTGGTCTTCCGTTTGAATGGACTACACCTTAAACACAGAACAAAACCCTCAGATGAAAACAAATACAGAAAATATTCCCAGTGGGTGTAACCTGTGGGAAGTGTAAGTGACCTAACGAGCTGAACAAGACTATACATACATAAGGGATGTGCTTGCCAGTAGGAAGTCTACGTTTGGATTAGCTGTTGTAGACAACAGCCTAAGGACAGCAGTCAGATGAAATACAGTTACATGTCCTAAAACTTTCGGGCTCTGACTTAAAATGGAAATATAGAATTTCCAGCTCTCATCTACTTCTTGTGTTTCATGTTGGTGTTTTACCAAGCACAACAGGCTGTAAAATTGAGTGGGATCATTAGGTGATATCATCCTGTAAAAAAACCCTCACAAAACCAAACCACCCAAGTAATAATAATAAGGGTTTGTATTAATTTATATATATATAAAATATTCTTATAATAATATAACTATTATATGCAACCAGCTACAAAGACGTGTAGATGTGGCACTTAGGGACGTCGTTCAGTGGTGGACCTGGCAGGGTTAGGTTTACGGTTGGACTTAATGATCTCTTCTAACCTAAACAATCCTATGACTCCATATTATGTATCAGAGAAGAAATGAAGTGTTGGCTTCTTCATTAGCCATAATGTCCAACAGCCAACCTGTAACTTCTATGTATATTTATAATCAGCAAGAGATATATCTGTATATTTTTGTGCTTTATGATGTGTGGCATGGAAGCGTAACAGACTATTCCAAGTCAACTAATAATTGCCCAAACAAATTGAACACTATGTTTTTAAGAAATGAAATCTTCTAATAAAGTAAAGGAGAAGACATACAAAGCGATGTATAACTCAAAACTCATCTCATTTTTTACTTCATAACACTTCACATTTTTGTTATGATTACTCCATGCCTGTCCAAAGTCTTTACTTTGGCAGAAGCACAGCCAGAGGCATGAGTCATTCGCACAGATGGTGGATATGCTGAACCAGTACAGTTAAAACCTAAGAGTAAGGCAACGCATTGAATAATTTTTCCTTCAGCTTTGACTCCAACATCACATGCGCAAACTCTATTATCTCATGAATTACAACTGTAAGGATGTACAGTACCTACTATGTGTTGCTCAAATTAAATAGTGGGTAGCTAAATAATTAGTGAATATACAACCCATTCTTTTTCAACTGTTGTGTTTTATCTACATTCTCAAATATTTTCAAAGTGAGATGCGTAACAGACATTATAAGGATTACTTTCTAGTTACTGCTCTGTTGTATATCTATAATTCAAAATACAACAGAGTCTTTCAGAAATCATATTACACCACTACTTGGGATTACAATTGCTTCCTACAACCTTTAGAATCAAACTCATTTCTGATGACTTATTTATAAGAGTAGTAAGGTTTTGGAAGTTTTTTAATCATGCTGCCACTTCAATCAGTTTTAGCTCACTACTGCAAGTATACTATATAATTCCATTATTCTCTCATTAATTTTAGTGTTCCAGAGACTACCGAGCCTTATCTGCCATGAATAATCCATGTACATTTATATCTACCCAAGAATAACGAGCAACTGGAGATCAATACAGATACAGAGATATATATACACACAATACTTGGATACATTCTTTATAAGAATTTTATGCATTTTAGAAAGAATGAAATTGTGCCAGTACACAAAGAACTGGCTGGACACATTAGCATATTGTTATAAATTCTCCTACTTGAATATCCATCCTAATCTACATTACATTTTGCTGGCAGAAGCAGCTAAATGGGCATGTGCTCTGCTGAAACGGTGCAGTCTGTAATTGCTTGCCAGCAAAACTTCCTAGATCTTTTTCACTGCAGGATTAATATATCAAGACCCTTAATGCCAGTGCGATAATGATTTTAACTCTAGTCAGTCGGCCTTATTAGGAGCTGTACGCTATAGTTTGACAACCCAATTCCTCTCTTGATAATGCAATTGCTCCATGAAGCTAAATACAGTAAGAGCCAACTTAGCTTCACCTGAACGAAGGTAACAAAACTTATTCTGCATAATGACACAGACTAGCAAAGTTTGCAAACACAAACCCTTCACATCTGAATGTGCACATGACAGTAGTATAGCGTGATAAAAAACATGCTAACAAGAAAACCTTAAAAACTTTTCAGTATGGAATTACAATTCCCTGGTCTTTGTAGTCAACACACTACTCAGGTTTCTTGTCAAGGCCAGGAATAGCAGGTGAAGTGGAAAATGAACAACATGTAAAACACAAATACTTTACATGGTGTTCAAGAGGCAAAAAATAAACAGTATGCATACTGCTAGCATGTTATTAAGTGCTTCTGGATGGTAAATTAACCTGGGATACTCACTAACAGGAAAGCAGAAAGCCACATTAATTCTTACACACATGAATGCACTTGTACATTTAAAATTCATCCATGCAAATTAGGGTTTTTTTTAAAAATGGCTTAAGGAAAACAATCTAAAATACTTCCTGTTTTCAAATCTAAATGCACTACAACCCGCAAAAATATAAATCTATAAATAGAGGTTAAAATTATTATTAATTAAAAAAATTATAAATAGCCTGTTGGGGTATACAAAACTCTTGAACTGAAGCTGACCAACGCTAGCATAGAAATTCCTGAATATTACAAAGCTAGCGTTTGAAAAGTTAAATATTAATTCCATGAATTTTGCTTCCATGTTCTTTTTAAAAATAACTGCCATGTTTGGTAAATCATCTTCTGAATCATTAAAGCAGTGCCATGAATTCTACTCCAATTATTATTTTGCAGTTACTGATATGAGTCCTTAAACAAAAATTCTGACCCTTAAAGATAAGTATGTAACTCCTAGTTATCTGTGCCACAAGTCTGTTCAGTAGGCAACACAGAAAAGACAATCAACAAGAAGATTCCCAGCACATAGGTAAATTAAGAAAAGTAAAACCATATTTTATAACATAGAGCAGCATTACAATCCAGTAAGCAGAGAGTGATAAACTAATTAAATAAATTCCATTTCAGTTTTCCGATGATGGCCTAATAGTGAGAAACTTGAAAACATTAGGTAGCAGTTTACCTACTTTCATTTTACATGGCTTGGGAAGAGACAAGAAAGCTTCAAATACAAATGTCTAATTACACGAGAAATGACTCCCATCTTAATTAAACACAAGTCAAGGTAAAGCATAAATACCTTTTGGCAGCCTTTCAGATCTGAAGATAGGCATAATCTGGAAAAAGCTAAACAAATCAAAGCTATGTTCTGGGATGAGAATGACTTTAAGGCTCTTACACTCTTAGGAAAGTTTGATTCAAGCGCTGGAGAAGTTGAAGATTCAGGATAAACTAACGTTTCACAGCACTGTTTTACTCTTTGAGAACACCTGGAAAATTCTGGCATAGCTAGAAGATGAAAGTCAACCAGCTCAGATGATCAGAGTCACAAAACCAGTATGAGTTTGCTGAAAATTTATGACAAACAACGATGACCAAGTCTGAAACTAGATGTAAAGTATTTGAAAGTGGAAAACTGTGCTCACATATCCAGCTGTTCAGCCTGCTGAAGATTCATAGAGAAACAGAACTTCAGTTTAGCAATCTTCAGACAAAAGAAGTCCATAAAATTAAAGAATACAATTGCTTTATAATTTCCCTGGAGTATCTCAACACCAAAAGTCGTCTGCTTGTAGTTCAAAGAGGGAGCATTCTGCTGAGCACCTAAAAAATTCAGTCTCTGACTTTGGGAAAAAAGATTTTTAGTAATTAAATAAAATTATTGCCGGCAACTGATTCCATACTTAAGAGTATTTCAGCTCCTCCATGACAGTAAACTAAAGAAAGTGAAAAAGATAAATATAAGCTATAAAGCCCCAATGTTGGGGTTTTTTTCAATGCAAACACTTTAACGAAGTTTGACAAATTTGCAACATAACAAGACTAAAATAAAAAGGTTTAATTTCAAAAGCATTCAATTCATTAGCAAAATAAAATTGCCTTCTACCAAATTAAAATAAAATTGAAAAGCTTTGCTTCTGAGGAAGAATCAAAGAAATATTCAAGATCTGTTTGGATTAAAATAAAATTCTTCCCATTATTTGATCAAGTTCCCAAAAGAGTAACCAAATATAAGCTAAAGATTACAGGAAATAATTTAATACAACTTGATATATTAACTAAAGTACAGGAAATTAAAGTTAGACTGCCCACTGTTTTATTTTGCACTCTATTACACAGTTCCAACTGTGGCTATGCAGTATGACTTCTGCTCATATTTAACCTCTTCTTGTGGGTTTCCTTTTTGTTTGTTTTTTACCTTCAGTAGTTTCTGCCTGTACTGGCGTAGGTCAGTCTTGACTCTGATTTCCCATGTGTGAAATGCACTGAAAACGTACATTAAAAAGGAGCAATAACAGAATCTGTGTATACTCCAAGATCTTTCTTGTAAATATCTGAACTGTCCGCAGTTTTCTCCTTTCTTTACCCGATAATTTATGGTCAAACACCTCTGGTTTGATTACGCAGAACTGAGGCAAAGAAATGATTCCTCAAAAGCAAAAAGTAAAGCCGCCATTTTTCTCTGGATTTTCTATCCAGAGCTGTTCTCGTTGTAGCAATTACCAAAGAGAAGATATTCCCTTTCCAATATAATGAAGCGTATCTTTGGGATAAATGAGCAACTGATTCCATAGATGTAAAAGATTTAAAACATAAATCTGTTATGATTTGTAGTAGTATCAAGCATTCACTGTTTTGATTAATC